TTAAGTAGTCTTAAATAATTAAAATGGGATTAAATAGTCTTAAATAATTAAAATGGGATTAAATAGTCTTAAATTAAATGAGTCTTAAATAGCGCATTTTAAGCATAATAAATTTGGATATGAGCTATATTAACCTATTCCAATTAAATGCTGCAGAAGAATGAATTAAAAGCTGAACATAGTGAACGAAGTTTGAACTCAGTTCTTTTAAGTAAAAAAGAAGGGATGATTAAATAATGTCTTATTATTCTTGGTAGTAAAACAGTAGTTGCTACTTTTGATTTTATGCTTTTTCTATCTGAAGTGTGTGAAAAATAAATGAATATATATATTTGTTGACTGACTTTCTTTTTCAATATCATCAACATTTAGTTTTATTTAATTCCACAATGCATTTTAACGGAATAGGAATCAATGTATATTTCAAAGTGAAAAGCGTGAAATACTTCATCCGGAGAGACTTTCCTCATATTGACTACCACGTTTCTTTTTCCCAGTACATTATTGAGCTTTTCCTGCTAACAGGGATTTCAACATTTTTAATATATGAATTTAAAAATTAATTTCGTCTCTAAGAAGGTATAAAATAGACTTTTCATGTCTTTAGCTGAAACATTATTGTAGTGCGAATATTTCTTTAAATGTATGTAATTAATTGTATTTCAAAGGAAAGAGTGTACGATTATTTTCTCTTTTTCCGTCTGAAGCCCAATTATAATGTATTTACAATCGGGTAGGTTTCTGGTGACTGAGCAAGTCTGCACCAGATTTCTAAAATTTTCTTTGCGAGAAACCTGATTATGAGCCAAATGGATCTTTCAAGAAATTATTCCTCTTAAGGTTGGTAGTTATCGGGTATGATTCCGTAATACACAGCTGGATTTCAACATTTAAAAACTGAATGCACTCTAAAGAATATTAGATCCAGGTAATTTTTAAATCTCTGGGTCAGATATATTAAAAGAGTTATTTTTTGCGTGGCATTTACGAACAAAGATTTACTTCAACTAGCAGTCGAAGCCAGCCTGTTACGTTTCCTATTACATGATTACTCTTCAAGAATTAGAACTTTATCTTTTACGCAATTTAAGTTTCTGTTTCAAATTTTTGATCATTACCCTTTCATATTATAAAATATGAGAATAATTAGACCCTTCTTCAATCACTGTGAACAAATAAAATATTTTATAACAGGATACTCAAAGAAATAGTTCTGAAAGTCAAGTAATTTTTCATTTCTGATCTAGACCATACGATCTAATTGAGAATTACAATATTATTTAAAAAAAGTCTGGCAATTGATTAACGAAGAATATCATTTTCCAGGAAAACTAACTTCTAGAAAATGCTCCGTATGTCTATAAAGTTGACGAACTATAACAAAAGTTGGTAAATAAATGCTTCTGAAAACACAAAGCTGTACATTTTAGAAGACACACAGGGTAGAACTACTTGACTTATAGAACATGCAGTTTCAAAAGAGAATTTATATCCTCATCGTTCGTTTAGTAGTAATGAAGGAAATGGAGATAATGATGCAATTTCACTTCAGTACAGCAAATACTAGCGATATAAAACTAAGACTAAAGCGACATAAAATGTAACTTCTGAAAGAAAGGGCGCAAAATATAGGACCGAGAATCAAAAAATATTTGCCCATCTGAGTTGAGTTATGGTCACTCATTTCGAACAATGTCAAACATACTAAAATTGGAAAAATGATAGAAAATAAAGAAGATTCACAAGAAGATGAAAAGATTTCGCTGTCTGACACCGAAGATATAAATTCATGAGCTTTTAAAGGATTAAATCTCTTTCAATGGATGTGCGAGTCTAGACTGATTGCCGCGAAAAATCATAGTAATGCTGAAATTGGAGCTGTCAAAAAGAGCTTCGGATATTGATGGCAAAATTTTAGGTCATATAAACGAAGATATTTTTTCCTCCGAGAAATTACCCTCATTTGGTGCCTGCGACGCAATTAGTTTAATTAAATTATGAAAATTATGAAACAATAAATTCATGCTGTCGTGATAAAATGCAGATAACAATATTTCCTTTTGCAGAATGGTCTCTGCTGTTCAAATAAGCAAAGCAAGAGTAAGCAAAACAAAATGATATTATAAATGGAAAGTAAACACGTACATGCTTAAAAATCTTTCCTCAAGAGATGCACTTATGTGTATATATATCTCATATTTTTAACTAAAACAATATGGTTATTCTCTTTAATATCATAAATTAACTAGCAGTTAAATATCATTTGTATTAATACTGAAATCCATTAAAGAAATTTTCTTTTCCTGATGTTGAAACCCAGATTTGATCCCCATAAAATGGGTTGATTACTGCCTTATAAGAAAGAAATGCGTATCATTAATGCCCATTAAATATTTTTGTTCCAGACATATATCCATCAACTTTGTCTAGTTATTTAACATAAAATAAAATCTGCCAAACTGCATCTCTTCTCAGATAATAAAAATATGTATTTGAGCAATAAGCCTAGAAATTTGAAACAGCATGAAAGTTGGTTATATTGTAATAATCTTCAGGATAGAAGGAATTATTGAATTTTAAACGTGCATGCTCTCGCGGAGTAAGCGTTTAGCATATAAGCGTTTACCGGCTAGTAAAGTGGAATATCCGTGGTTCGAATCCAAATGAAAGCATAGCTGAGTTTTCATGTTTTCTGGCCTAGAATATCTAGTTTTCTCAACAGTAGCGCCCGAACTGAAATTTAGTAAATGACAATTCATCACCATTTGTAGACTAGATGTTACGCTTTTCTCCAACTTCCCTATGCCCTGGGGGAGAATATAAGGAAATATCAGATGCCCTATGCATATTCTAGTAGTGCGAATGGTAACATATGCGGAAAATCCGTGTTTCAAATCCCAGCTAGGGTTTACCTGTTTTTTCATGTTTCCTGCTACGAAAAACTTACAAACATACTTCTATCTCACATTTGAAAAGTTTATTTTGAGAAACTAAAGGATGTTTACATACGTATTTCGATATATCTAAAAATAAATATATAACTTTTTGCTTTCTTCTTGGGTCTTCAGCTGCGCTGTCGAAATGAAGCATCTTGACGCACGAAAATCTAATTTTATTTCCAGAATTTAAAGAGTTTTAAATTCGGGATTTGATCAGGCATGGTTTTCTCAACGCTTCAAGTTTAACTGCACTTAGGATACATCTCACATTGTGTTCGGTTACATATGATTCATATATTGGGCAAAATGCTTTCTAAATCCAAATTTGGTAAATACATTTGAATGTAATTCTTTCATCCTGTTTTCTAGAGTGAGCCATTTTATTTGTGATCTAATCTCTTTATATTATAGTTTGATTTTTATTTATAATGCTTAAACCTAATTTTTATGCATTTGTTATTCACTTTAAAAGTTTGTTGCTTTGAAAACATAACAGTATTCTGACAACATTGAATACTTTTGTTTAATAATGTTTTTACCCGTTTTTTGTTTGGTAATAAAATATTTTCTTTCATGCGTCAGGTAAATTTATTTATAACAAGTAATTGTTTATTATATTTCTTCCTGTGGATGTAATAATGTACATGATTTAATGCAATATTCACAATAAGAATTCAGTACTGAAATTTTAGTTATCTGAAACTAATACATTTGCAACTTTACTGCGCGATGTTTCACTCTCTATATTTAAAGGTTAAAAAAAAAAAAAAAAAAAAAAAAAAAAAAAAAAAAAAAAACGAAACGGAAAGAAAGAAAGTAGATACTTTTATGTTTCTTGCTTTCCTTAAAACACACATAAACTTCCGAATTTTGTACATATCACCGTAAGTGTTTGATCATAATGTTCATAAACCACACTGAGACAAAACTTCGCGATTTTCTTATTATTCAGAAATACTGAATAAGTGAGCGTACATGATTTAATGTTTCCCGAAGCAACATGACCAAGTGTCGAATTTATCTTTTCAGTATAGCTATTTTTGGCAAAATTTTCTCTATAGGAAGAAAAGAAGCTTTTAGGAAATTTGCCAAAAACAACTTTTTTCTCTGAAGAAATGAGTAAAAATCTATCTGCCTTCCTCCTTTTCTCTAAAAAGGTGATATTCAAGATGAATACGTCAGTCACAGCTGCTAGATACAAAAATGATTTATTTGAAAAACATTTTCGTTCATTATGATAAGCTATAGCTATCATTTGAGTGTTCACCCAATGATCAGATTTTTAAAACTATTTTTAAGAACTGAATTTGTCTTGAGATCTACGTATGCTCCGATGTAACTAAAATATTTGACATAATATTCCTTCTAGTGATACTCGTTCTAAGCGACATGCTCTATCACTATTTTACTTTTAATTTATTTACTTATATTCAAAATGAATATAATCAAAGTTATAAAAAATGTTAAGGTATTAAAAATTTGCACTATTTTTTCTAAATTTAAAAGGCTATTACTGGACAATAATAAACAGATAAACTATTCACCACTCTCAAAATGCAGGACTTTGGTGTGTTGAATATATACTACTACTTATAAAAAATTTAAAAGTAGTTATTTTAAGCTAATTAAAGAATCATAAATTTAAGCTTTAATTTAGACAAATCGTTTACAACCGAATTTCACTTCTGGAAGAAATGGCTTAGAAAGTGAAAAATGTTTTCAGTACGTTAAAATTTAATCATTAGACTATTTATATAGTATGCAAGCATGAAAATCATATTATGTCATATTTGCATCATATTATGTCTAATAATTTTAATTATGCATTGGATTTCACTGATGATATGACTATTATGGATACCATGACTATTAAATTTTACTGTTGTTTGAAAGATAAAAGGCAATTTCGAGAGACTTATTCAGTACTATTTATTTCATTATTTCATGCCACATAATCAGAATGAAGGGAAAGATTAGAAACTTGATTTTTATGGGATTATATTTCAAACAGAGCTTCATTTCCTTTAATTGATATAAAAGATAAATTTTGAATAACCTTACCTCCAAACAATTTGTACCTTATACCACGTCTCCAAGAGGTCTTATCTATTACAAAATAGCATCTAAATGAGATGTTAGTGTAGCTGGTCCAGTCGCTTATGAAATACTGTTTGTTTAAAGTCACTTCATAGGTGTGATTTCGTAGAGTGATCACTCTATCAAAAGGAACACTCGTTAGAAAGTGGTTAGCTTCTTCGTTATAAATTCCACAAGATGCTGAGGGCTTAGGAAACAGCCCAACACAATGCATGCGAATGGTTTCTGTGCATGTGTCCATGTCTAGATGGGTAGTCCATACATTATCCTGGCAAGCATCTGCGAAAAGTTTCATAGAGAAGTTATTAAGAGCAAAGTTTTCAGAAAATAATGTAATAGATATTCTAAAAACATATATGAATTTATTTCTGCCAAATACTGAAACAATCACTAATTTTAGATTTGCAGATTTACGACCATGTTACTATATTTTTAGCATATCATTCTACATTAATATTTAAAAAATCTCATAAAATTTGTTTTCATACGCCGCAGCAAAATTCTAGGTTAAGTTGATGAGAGACAAGACGTATAGCACATAGCATATGAATAGAGGTTTGAAAATATTTTACTTAACAAACATATAATGAAACTATTAATGTACTTACGTGCCGTGTTAGGTTTTATGTTATGTATTTCAAAAGTATTATTAATATTATAAGGATTTTTATGTATGTTTGCATTGAATATTAAAAACCCAATCCCATAATAAAATTCAAAACTGCGGTTGTCCTATAAATTTATAAAAACAGAACTTTTATGACTGAAACAAAACAAATATATATTAAATTTAATTACGAATTTCCGCGTGCTTGATCTATCGAAATGATGATTTAACTCTTCAAAGACTGAAATATTTTTGGCTCATAAAATTAAATTTAAGTCTTACTTATATACAGCTACTTCCTTCTGGAGAATGAAAAATGGGTTCAGCTAAAAGATTACTAACTTGAGCACATATTGAGCTGAAATGGTGCAGCATAAGAAACGAGCAAATAAGAACTAAAAAAATAATTGTTACCTGAAAGTTATATCTTGTCACTGAGTATTAATACATTCCCAAGTATAAATAACCATTTCATATATTTTTGAAGAGATGAAATAAATGAACTTAATCTTGTTATCCTCTATCGGAGAAAATTATAAGATAATGTTTTCGCTAATGCATTTATTTAAAAAAGATAGGGTTAACAATAGGGATAATTAATCATTAAAACCCAAATTTGTAAAATAAATACAAATTTTTATAGATAGCATCAGAACATTTTATGGAAAATAATCAGTACAATTCCGGAAAAATATGCCAAAATAAATTATCTCAACTAGTGTTTTATGATACTTTATTTTGCTAATTTATGAGAAATAGAACAAAGCATTTACTTGTACACACTTATACAGGGTGGCGCGTAGTACATGATTATTGTTAAATAACTCAACACTGTGTGACCATGATAATGTAGTATATACAATGCCATTTCAGTTGTGAAGAAATGGGTGGAAAGACTGAAACAAAAGCAACGGGGCACAAAGCACTGAACTTTAGGACTAAGAAAAAAGGTACTGTAGAGACATTAGGTAGTTTTTAGAAGCAGCAGACTTGAAAAATGAGCAACGCCCTCGCCGAGAATAGCACCACGGGCATCTGGAATACGCGCCCAGCGTGCAGATCACCACACCACGAAGGCATGCCAAGAAGGAGGGGGAAATAATTTATATAGAAACTGTAGAGGCATTAGGTAGTTTTGGAAGCAGACAAGATGAAAAATTAGCAACGCCTTCGCCGGGAATCGAACCGCGGACCTATAGAATAAGCCCCAGCGTGCAGACCACCACACCACGAAGGCATGCCGAGAAGGCGGGAGAAAGACCTTATAGTAGAAACTCCAGAGATTATCCGAACAGTAAATGCGGCGGTCGAGCAATGTCCGCAACGTTCTGCACGACAACATGCCAAGTCTTTAGAATTAGTATGTCGGAGTTTGGGTAGAATATTGTCTAAAGATTTTAAACTGCATCCATCTAATGTCCAGGTAATCCATGCGTTGCCGGATAGCGATTTGCACAATTGGCAAATGTTTGCCGAAACATTTTTAGCCAAATATAATGAATATCCAAAATTCCTTGAAAATTTGTGGATGGCTCAAAGCTGCGATATTTGATGAACTCAAAGATGATGGATGACAAAGCTTCGATATGTGAAGAGATTCGATCCGTTACTGCGGACGTACTGCAGAAAGTTATGAGAAACGTCCATTTCGAATGCGAGAATGTTACCTTAGAAAGAAACGCCATTTACTGGACACTTTTTTCAAAAAGTGAGTTATTTTTATTTTTATAAAAATGGCATACTTATACCTTCTTATATCAAGAATTATGCAAAAATGTCTATAATATCACTGTACATTATGGCATTTTCAAAATCTCCCCTATCCGTGCTCATCCCTATACTTCTGTTACTGAATGCTGTTTATAAAAAGATGTGACACTGACACATTTTTCTCTAGTTAATGTAAAGCATACTTGCAAAGATATTTTAAATCACTTTCGGAGTTTTCATGTAATCCAAATACAGCTGAAAGTTTCCGATTTTTAGAATAATTTTGATAAAAATAAAAATAGAATTTGATGTGGATACCACATGACATCCTTGTACGCCTATTAAACTAACACATTTCTTGCTGCACTTCATTTAAATTTATTTCCTCGAATTATTTTAACTTAATCAACCGATCCCTCAAGGCAAGTTGAAACTAGTATACTGCAAATTTTGAAATTAAATATCTCAGTAAATTTTTGTCGAAGGGAATCAAACTTCTTATAACTTTATTTTTTCATAACGAATATACAACGTTCCCAAATATAAGTATAACAATCGGAAGATCACATTAAAAGTTAGATTTCGCTATTTTTCAAAACTTAATTTGTTTCGAATATCTGCCACTACCAAATATGAACATTTTCTCATATAAACACTTCTGCAGCTAGAAGTATATGATTACGACCAACAATTGCAAAAATGAAAGCCGGATAAAGATTTTTACGCCATATGAAGGATGATGGCTATATAAAAAAGAGAGGTAAACAGCGATCCCATATACAAAATTTTAACTTTCTACTGCTAATCGTTTTCGAGTTATATGAAATTCATACATATGTAAGTATACCTGTCACAAAAAAAATTCCCTTTGAACCGATATTATATACGTTTTGGAAAAGAGGTTCCTTTATTCTGTCCGTACGTACACATGTCACGCAAAAAGTCGTCCAAAGGGATTTGGAAACGGTCAAAATGTATATTTCCTTTGAAATATGGTACCTAAAAAATTTCGAGATTACAACGCTTTCTTTCCTTCGTACAAGGAAGTAGAAAGCAGATCTTTTGTACTAATACCTTCTGCTTCTTTTAAATTTATTTTTCTTTCAGAATGTCGTACGTAAACAAGCTATGGATTAAAGAATATGATAATTTATGGTGAAAGCGGGTGAATACGGTATTAAAACTTCTAAGAGGAAAATAAACAACATTATAAATTGGAAAAGAAAAACCATCAGTCACTACTTCTACATGGGAAGAAGACTCCAAACAAATACCCGAATAAGGTACGTACTGTTAAATCACTGGTAGCAAGAGAAATTCCGCCAATGCAAGAAATTAATTACAAAGCCTTTAAATACGTCTATAGCAACAATAAATACAATAATAAACTAAGATATACAACTTAAAAAATCTAAGAAACATAATGTTCACCAAATTTTGTCGATTTATGTGACTCGACGCAAAACCCTTTGTAGAACTCTGTATGGGAACTATTTAGCAGGAGATAAATGGAAATACACTGTGACCCTTCTTGAAGCATTGTCCACCTAAGAGACTGCAACAAAAGAGGGTCTATGTATTATAAAAAACGAATAGAAAAAATTATACAAACTTGATTCTGTTAATTCAAAGAAAGTTTCAGTAATGGGTTAATGACTGTCACAGGATTCTCTTACAAGAAGAAATTAAAATAACAAGAGTGAAAAAAATGTTAAAATCAACTCAAGAGAAAGTTTTACGTCTGATATTTACGGAAGAAATTCCTTTTCTTTATCCTTAGTGACTTCGTTAGTGAAAAGAGCGAAACTTCATCAATACAAAGCAACAAGTCATACTTTGAAAAGTACCACTGCATTCCTTGGTACAAAAACGAAAACTGATACAAGTATTGAATATATACATTTTTGCCGTATTCCTGCAAAGTTCCCTGACTTTTCACCTATAGATTTTTGTGCCTTTTTTTTCTTGAAAAGAGCTCTTTCTAACAGCAAACCCACTCCTACTGATGGACTCTGGACAGTAGTGGAAGAAATAGAAATCAATAAACTTGAAAATTTTACGAAAAGACATTCTATCGTGGAAATCAGAATGCTTATATTCCAGGAAAAAGGCTATCAGATTAAATATTTAAAAATGCTCCTTAACAGCCCCGAAATCATAGTAAAAATCTATAAGCTCCTTCTATAACCCAAAATTGTAATTAAAATGATATTGTGCATATTTATGCACTGAAAGCTTCAATTTACGAGAGAAACTGCATTTTCGTATTCATTCAGTTTTACAATGAAAACATAGTAAATTAGTTTAGTGATTTTATTTAGTTTGAAATAGTAAATCATTTACTAAATTCATCCTTAACGAACCAAAGTCAGCCCGTTGTTACACTTAATAAAGTTATGTCATGTTTAGGAGCTAATATTTGCAATCATGCAATACCAGTTAAGATATTCTAATGAATATAATCATAAATCATAAGTATATTTCGTTTGCTATTAGATTATTAAATATGAAATTCTATTAAGATAATGATATCGTGATCAGGACTAAGTTTCTCTATATCATCCTCTACTTTATGAAATTGTAGGACAGGAAACAAATAATGAAATAACGACTTATCTAAATGAGCTGGAGAAATCTGCTTGAAGACAAATTTTGGCAATCTTCCCCACTCTATGCACTTCAACAGGAAATATAAATCATCCTTTTCAGAAAAGAAAACCATTATGCTATTAGAGATTGATTCGAAACCTCTGCGTTTTTATTGCAGTGGAAACTAATATCAGTTTCATTTGAATGAAAGCATCTCAATAAGTAATGAACAATGACATCTAATTAAAGAGCACTGAAACTCTTTATACTTTGTAAGCATGACTTAAATATTTTCAATAAAAAAAACAAAGCACATGAAAAATGTTTTCTGACTTGTACACACACACACAAACAACACACACCAACACACACACACACACACACACACACATATATATATATATATTTAACCGTGAAAGACTGAAATTTAGATAATGTCGACATTCTCTTGTGAATGTCAACATTCAGACAATCGCTTGCTGTATGCCCGAAATATTTGCTAAACATCCTTATTTCTAACTTAGACAGGTAAATGTCGGTTCAGTTTGTATAATTTCTTCATGGTGTTGCAATTTTCACAACCATTAGTGTAGTTCTAATGATAGAAGTTTAGGTTTCTTAAATATAGCAAAGACATATAAGCACAATCTGCATAAAGGAAGAGACGCTTTCAAGGAGGACTCTCTAAGTGAAACTGGCTTGTGTTCAAGTTCCACATGGAGGAACCAAGAAAAGCAAGAGCGTAGCCAATCCTTTCGCCAGGGTTCGAATTTTTGTCAAACTTCCAGCATTCAGCAGTCTTTAACTAATCTGCCATTGACGAGACCTGATGATCCAAGTATCAACCATTTTGCATTTTAGTAAACAAAAGAAAGGCGTAATGGCTAAATAGCATACAGAAACGAAAGGCGACAATTAATAAAGCTAATTAGTAAAGGAAAGCTTTCAGAGCTTTGTAATTTTGTACACTCGAATATTTCTTTATTATGTTTAAATGAAGAAAATTAATCCAATAAATTAAAAACAAAATTATTACTTTTCTGATTTTCAGCAAAGAAGTATTACAAGTATATTTGGACGAGAAGACAACAAGAAAGGGATATGCTTTCTATTTATATAAAATTTATTAGCTGAGTTTCAATACAAAATTAAGCACAATGAGGACATTAGTTGTTCTAGAAGTTGAAGAAAATTTTACATTTTGTGTATCTTGAAGAGAGAAGATAATTGTAATTTCGTAAGCTACTCAGTTGAACATATGCAGAGGAGCATAACTAATATTTCGTGTTATTAACTTAACTTCTCAGAAGATAACTGCAACTATTTTTGTTATCTTTTTAGTTTAATTTGAAATTTGTGACTTTTCATTGATCCTGTTTTTATAACAATATACGGTACGAAGTAACAATATACGGTACGAAGCTGGAATGGGTTCGTACATGAATGAATTGAATTCAAGTAATAACGATACCTTCAGTAACATTTAGATAAATAAAAAGTGCGTTTGTTTTAATATACTTCCTTAGAAGCAAAAAGAATATAAAGAGAGTCATTTTATTTAATTTATATAAGACATGAAATTATATTAAGTAAAGACATTCGATATTTTATGTTAAATGTGAGAGATAAGAGTATCCGGTCTGCATCACTAGTAGTTTTAAGAGCCGCTAATGAATTTTTTTTAATGACAAAAACAGTAGAGGCTCTACTTACATTAAATCTCATTTGATGTGTTTGCAAATTTATTTTACATTAAATATTTTTTTATGCAATAAATCTCTAATCATTTGCAGTCTTTTTTTATTGTCTTCAGGTTAGAAATTGCAGTGAACAGTTATTATTTTAACAATAATTGCCGATTGTAATTTACATGTTATTTTTATAGCAAGCAGGTTTATAAATGTGTCACAATAACTATATCTGACATGTGAATTAGTTAAACAAAAGTTTAAGAATAAGATATAGGGTAGATTACGAATTATATTAATGTCCCGCTAATTCCTGTTAGCTTAGTTGTTTTTAAATTTTGAATGCGGATAAGTTTACTCTCAAGCCAATATTTACTTACATAAATGCAGATGCAGAAGTGATGCAGACTGTATTAGATTAACATGTTATGGAAAAACTTGCTAGAATCCTTTGTTTAATTTACAGCACTATACTGGGGAGAGTGTTTCGAGTAACAAAGTATAAATTTATATTTAAAAGGATGAATTTGTTTAATTTTCTTTTTTACTAGCTTCTTTTTAAAACTGGCTGAATTTGGAAAGCGTTGATATTTTTACTGTTGATTTCTTAAAAAATATTAAATTCAAATCTAAATTGCAAAACTGATGTAATATTTTACTTCTCATACGAATATTCCTAAAGGCTTTTAAAATATTACTGTAAATTAAAAAACATTTTTTAGTTACTTAAAATCTACAGTTTATAAGATTAACTTGATATAGAATTTAGACAAGGAATGCTCATATAAAGAAAAAAAATGAATGCTTTAAATTTATACCACTATCAAATCAATAATAGCACATTTTCTAATATTTTTATGACTATTGGCATACTGAAAACTTGTACAGTGCTTATGAAGTCACTTAACTGAGTATCTAATAATACTTTTTTATAAGAACCTCTTTTAGAGGCATGCTGCAAATTAAAGCATATATTGCGTAACCAAATTTACATTTATAAGAGCTCAACGAAAATGCTTGATTACGAAATATTATATAAAACTTTATTCTAATGTGTAAATCTATTTCGAAAAATACTTTTATATATGCGTTGCAAATACTGTAAAAATTCTGGAAACCAGCATCAACAAATAAACAAGATGCAGTTGAACAAATTTCAGAAACTGATAATATTAATGTTTGTAATGGTATAGAAAACAAAAGTTCGTATACCTTATACAGCTTATATGATGAGAAGTTGTTAATTATAATGCAAATAATTCTAAATTTGTGCATGAGTTACAAGATTCAAATTTTTAGCAAAGAAACGTATTTATAATTGCTAATATCTTACCGACAACAACTATTAACTGGAACTCAGTAAAACCTGATATCTGATTGGTCTGCACTATGCATCGGTATTTCCCTTCCATCTCCATATGTGCTTGTCGAATCATGATAACGCTTGGGTCTGTGTTGGTGACATCTGTTCTCCCGAAAAAGATCTCTTTTGTAACTGGCCTGCGATTCGGTCGCCACACATACACTTCTGTACTTTCTTCTGATCCCCTTCTTTTCCATTCCCATCGGACGGAAGAAACAGTCTCATCCGCTGCTGTCGCATAATTGCAGTGCAGCTCAGCGGATTCTCCTTGGAGAGCATAATCGTTTCGTTTCGATTCTGTTACTAACGTTATGTTTGAAACAATGACGCCCGAAGTACCTGAGAAAACACAAGTGAAGTGAATTAGCTCTTGCATCAGTAAAAAATTAGATTGCTTAAAAATTATTATAAGAAACCATCAACTACAACTATGGCAATAGTTTGCAAAATATGTGTATGTTTCTGATTTCTTAAAACAAAAAAATTATTTCTGAAGTCAAACATTAAGAAATTACTGTAACAGTCCAGCATATATCAACAAAAATTTATTGAATGTTCCTTAACTTGATAGCATAATTATTTTATAATTATCTAAATTTTAATTAAATTTAATTTATGAAGTTTAAATATTTTAAATTATTTTATCTTTAATAAGGATTTTGAGTGATATAAAATAATAAATAAAATTAAAGGAACACAGGGTATATATTTGCAATGTAAAACAATGCAGTTGTAAGAAATCTAAATATTCTTGAAGGCCATACAGGAAAAGAATATTTTTTGGGTTTTATTAAGAAAGAAGGCCAAAGTACAGTTTTGAAGGTTTGAGGTAAAGCTGTTGTAGGTTCCAAAAGTTCATTAATCATTCTCATAGAATTCAATGAAGTATTTCCCTAAAGCTTAAATTTTTCCTTATAAAAGGCTTGCATATAGTTCTGATTTAATATATATTTCGTATTTAATGTATTTATTGGGCACACTCTTAAACTATCATTTTACAAGGGATGGTTTTCGATGTATATGTCATACCGTTCTCTTAAGATTGAGTCAAACTTAGAATATTAAAGCGGAATGACACTCTTTTCGCTGTAATGAAATTCAATTTATTCAATTTTATATGATGATTTTTATGCGACTTCTGCAAATATCTAAAATTCGAGCATGTTTCTCATAGATTTTCTATTCAAACTTCCATATATACATTAAGGCATTCAAGGTAATGTATCACAACCTATTTTTGAGCACAGCCGCAGCGTAGAATAGAAATGAAGTTCTGGATATGGGAATAGGTCAATAGTGCAATAATAACACTAAACGGACATTTCAGGGAAGAGAAACCAAGAAGTCAATAATAGTGCAGGGGTGACAAGAGTTTAAAACATCCTAGTAGTGATAAACTGCAGGAGATGGCAAATTACAGGGTGGCTTTTAAGCGACGATGTTCACTGGTGCGCGGAGACCAGAAGGCGAGTAATCATTCAGTTTTTAATTCGACAAATGTATCCCTAACACTGAGAAATAGACAATTCCAATTCCTGAAACGATTAATAAACATTAGTAGCCAGTTGTCACAGGGGAGCTTGTCTGTATATGTGACTGCTATCTGCCTCTAGCTATTCTAAGTACTAAACAAATTATTCTAACCCTTAAATCGTTAATCGTTTAAATCGGAGCAGGTCATTTTGGCAACTTTATTCCAAAATGGAATTCTTTATTCATCCTAATTCTTACGTCAACTGTCAACTTTTATATTAAGCAGGAAGAGCTGTTTGAAGCAATATTAGCAGAAGAATATGTTACAAAAAGTATATTTTCAAGTTCATTGTTTTATTTTACCCCCTTAAGAATGAATATATAAAATTATGTTACAACGTGTAAACGTGTTCACTTTGCATAACTTACATGGCGTCTTATCATCTTTTATAAGTTCAATTTTTTACTTTATACTTTCTATTTTAACTACTTAGTGTATAATATTTTCTTTACCCAAACTTTTACTTCAAAGAGAATAATAATTAAGTTTTATTATCCCCAAAATTGTCTTACTATCAAGGAATAATTTGACACATTGGTTGACTAAAGCGACTATGAACAAAATTTATATCATAACTACAATTGTTCTCCTTACAAATGTTCTGCTTTTCGCGCGCGACATGGGTATTAGTTCCTAAAATAACTTTTTGCAACAATAATAAGATTTAGAGAGTATTTGTTACGTTCACATAAGGTATACGGAGACATTAAAGGGTAACATAAGTAAATTATATTTAGTTTCGGTTTAGTAAATTTATAATTTGATCATTTGGCTTATGATTTATACGCATACTAAAAATATTTATTTGCTCATTAACCGAAGCAAAATAATAAATTAATGAATATTCTCATAAATAAGCGTGATGCAGGTTTTAAAAGGCAAAAGTTTCTTGAGAAAGTGTATTAAGCACGCAGTTAAGAATGGTAAAACATACCATTCTTGACTAGTAAACATATATAGCTTGTACGAAAGGAAAATTTTGTTAACTTCTAAAAATTAACCCACATTTATAGAAAATCTAAGCTCGAATTCTAAACATATCTATCTGTGTATATGTGGAATGTGCATACAATAAAATAAAATTTAAATCAACTTACATGGGAAATGTTTAATTATTAATTTGCACAGAAAAAAAATAATATTCGTTATGTTTCATATTCATGGTATACTGTATAATTATTAATGCAGTTCATGCGATAATACATGTAATAGAATATAACCTTGTTATTATCACAAATACCCCACAAAATTACAGTGGTAAAGTAAGCAGCATAAAATTTCATTTTGCCTACAATATTTCTATTTTCTCAATGTAAAATGTAATTCTTAATTAGGAAGAAATGCAATAAACGTTTTATTTTTCTCAAATGTATGTATATAATTATTTCATTTAGCCTGGTTTCTAATAACATTTTCATTTATATTTCAGAGCATTTATAATTTGATATATGCATATACACACAGACACACACAAACATATATATGATATATATTCTGTTTTATATAAAGAATATTTTTAGTAAAGCATTTCGAATTGCAAAGCATTAAATTTGTATTTGAGTATTAGTATTTGAATTACAAAGTATGTAGGCGAATTGTTGAAGCAAAATGTATAAATTAAAAAAGTATGTATGAAACTTAGAAACACAAATAACTATCACAGTAAAATGTTTAAAAATAGTTAAAGGTATTCATGTTAGACTGCTCTGTAAGCGTATTAGTTACCTCCCATATTAACCTACAAATCAGATTTAAATCATTGCATATAGACTGGCTTTTAAATTCTCTACAAACAGCCAAACTTTTAGGCAGTGTTCAAAAACTATTAATATATTAAGATTTTATTTATATTCTTGAGATATTTGGATTTTTTGGAAGCCGGAGATGCGACATTAGCAATGCCCTCGCAGGTAATCGAACCACGGACCTCTGGAATACGCGTCCAGCGTGCTGACCACTACACTAGGAAGGCATGCCAAGAAGGTGGGAGAAATACCTTATAATATAAATGAAAATTTATTTGCTGAGTCACACATAAAATGAAAGAGAGAAGCATTAACATATAACACATAACCATAACTCGATGCGTTAACACTCTAGTGCTCATTAGTAGGCTAATATAATTATTATTTTATTAGGTTTTGATTGAAAGATTTAAGAATTCTTAAAGGCATCATTTGGATAATATGTTAATTCACATAGAGAGCTAAACATTTTCCTTCATGTAGTATTAGATATCTTCTCTAAAATCTTAAGTTTGATAAAATTTATTTGACTTTAATATTTTACAGATAATTTAGCCACCATTTTATACTAAAGTTATTCAAATGGATTTTGTACGAACAGTAATCGGATTACTTAACAAAGACGCAACACATATGGGCTCTGTGTGCTTTGTTTGAACATACTTCACTCCACTTTTGAAGTTAAAACTAGATAAAATAGCAGGAATTAACTGGAATTTTCAACTGTATGTGGAAATTCCTCTCGCTAGAGCTACACCTTACTTTATAAATTCTTTTATCCGTATACACTGCCCTCGACTGCTTTCCTATTAACTAATTAACAAAATTAAAATTCAGTTGGTGCTTTCAATACATTTATTGCTTAGCTAAAATCTTTGCCCATTTAATTCGTTCTATAGACTAAATATGCTTAAACGTATGATCTGTGATACGGTTTCTTAGACAGAAATATTATTTTAATGCAAAGAAATGCAAATTCAGACGTTTCCTTTAACTTCTCAGCTCGAAAGGAATTTCATAGTTTTAGGGGTATGAATGTGGTAAACCTATTAACTACATATTTAATGTTAAATTTTTAGTTCTATTTTATGAACATAAAAAGGCTACTTTTGTTCAAGTTTTGGTATTTATAAAAAATTTTACGCTTATTATCGGTTAATTTATAAAGTAAATTAAAAAATAATCTAAATTTAAATAAATACATATGTGTTTTTACAGTTTTGGAAAGTAAGGGAGAATAATCGTCCAGCAGTGGTGAAAGAAGTGCATGGGGCAAAAAAAGTTGGAACAACTGTCTTATATTAATTATATGATATGCAATTTACTTATTTTGTTTCGTGATGTTAATACTATTGTTATATACTATTTTAAATAAAACTTTCTAAAGCTTAATGAAAGAAAGGGGATCAGAAATGATGTTACAATGCTTAGACAATCATATTTGTTGATTATAAATAACTAATAAAGCATCTTCAAAATCTTTGCTCACACATTATTTATCGGAAGATGTAATACGAAGAAAATATGTTACAGCATACAATACTGATTCTTCCTATCTAATAATAAAGTGACTTTTTATTTTTTATAGGTTAAAGTGAAGAAAATGTTTGAAATATTTATAAATATAAGATAAAAGAAGTCAAATAATTATAGTTAAACTTGATGTTACGCAGAATGATTCACAGTTTCGCGCCATTGTTTTATTTTCAGATGAAGCCTGCTTTACGAGAGAAGACGTAGTCAACACGCACAATACGCATATGTGGTGTCTGAAAATCCTCACCGCACTGTCTCGTCGAAATTGCAATACAAGTTCGGTATTAACATTTAGGTAGGGATTCTCGGAGGTCATCTGAATAAGTCCGTATCTTATGCCCGAACGCCTGAAAATTACCTTGTTTTCCTACAACACGTCGTCCCGGATTTGATGTAGGGAATACTGGCCATTGTGCGTCAAAACATGTGGTTCGTGCACCATGGTTTAGCACCAGCGCGTTTTGGGATTCTGGTGCTTAACCATTGTACGCAGGGGATCTTTTGCTTAGCCTTCACGGACCTTA